TTTCACAAGCTTGTCAGTGGAACACAAGAGATGCCCTGGTGACCTCAGGGTATTGGGGCTGTCCCCTCCACCACTTAGCTACCAGGCCCCGCCCCCGCACACCTGTCACTTAGCACGTGGTGCCTGGGTCCCTCTGCCTCCCTGCACAGCTGGCCCCGTCTCAAGTCAGGAGCGTGGGCTGGGGAACTGCTGGCCGTTGCTGAAGGACACCCTTTGGTTCGGTCAGTAGCTACTGAGCACCTGCTGGAGCTACGGCAGGGCACAGAGCACACCTCGTCCCTTTCTTCACGGAGCTTGTGATGCAGCGAAGCAGCCCAGAAGAGGTGGTGGGAATACGGGCTGCAGTGAAGGCAATACTTTGGGTCTCACGGAGCTCTGCGAGGATCGAGTGCAATGATCCCTCAGCATTATTCATTTTGAAAACCACGCGGAAGCTAGGCACAGCAGCTCCCACCAGAAGAACTTTTCTGCCGTTAACACAAAGTGAGGGCCGAATGTAAAAGCAGCTCCTTGAAGCCACTGGAGAGCATGGGCAACCAGAAGAAGGGAGCAGTGCTGGGCAAGTTTGCGTCATTTTACGGCCTTCAGCCTGAAGATAGGCAGCTACGATGCTGGATACGTGCTGTTACTGGACGGACTCAAGCACAAAGTTTGGGGCAGAGTTTGAGCCAGGGAAACTCCAAATCCTGCAACATCTCTGCTCATTTTTCTGCCTGTTTTTTGTTTTGTTTTTTTTAAAGATTTTATCTGTTTTTTAAAAGTTTTTAATTTTCTTAAAGATTTTATTTATATGAGATAGGGAGAGCAAGTGAGCGAGAGCACAAGAAGGGGGAGTGGCAGGCAGAGGGAGAAGCAGGCTCCTCACTGAGCAGGGAGCCTGATGTACGGGGCTCAGTCTCAGGACCCTGAGATCATGACCTGAGTCAGAGGCAGACATCCAACCGATTGAGCCACCCAGGCGCCCTATTTTTTATCCATTTTAGAGTGAGAGCATGAGTGAAGGCAGGGGGAGGGAGAGAGGGGGAAAGAATCTTAAGCAGATTCCTCAGTGCGGAGACTGACATGGGACTCCATCCCACGACCCTGCGATCATGACCTGAGCCAAAACCAAGAGTTGGACGCTCAACCGACTGAGCCACCCAGGCGCTCCTTTGGCTGGTTTTTGAAATGGTGGATTTATGGGCCAGAGTTTAAGCAGCTCAGCTAAAAAAAATGGGACAGATTTCTTCTGGCTCCTGTTGCGGGGGAGAGTTTTGAGTTTGAGTCTAGCCAAGTTACGTGTTAAAATGAGAATATCCACAGCCTTCAAAGGAATATAGCAGAATATAGCGTCTCTGCAACATATGATTTATACTGTGTAGGGTACAGCTTAGTATTATTAGAGGTAAAATACAGGGAAGATGAAAATGTCACCCTTAGTCCAGAGAAAAGGCAGCATTGGAGACTCACCCCAAGGTGATGACTCGTTGGAATCCTCAGGTGTGTTTAAGGGTGCTCAAGGACGTAAAGGAAAACATGCTCATAGTGGGAAGTAGTAGATCTCAACAGAGAGAAACTATTGAAGAAGAACCAAATGGAAATTCAGGAACTGAAAAATGTAATACCTGAGAAAATTAGGGGAGTTGGGGGATGATGGGAGAAAGACTGAAGGCTTGGTTGGCAGAAATGATTGAAGAACAGAGAGGACGAAGATGGAGACCAGAAAGGGGCAGGGCCTCAGGACGCCGTGACGCAGTGTCAGCAGGTCTGACGCACCTGTGATTGGGGTCCCAGGGGAGAGGAGCTAGAGGAGGGGGCATAAAAAGTTTGTGCAGTACTAACTGAAAATTTCCCACGTGTTCTGAAAGACGTGTGTGTACGGATTCATGGAGCTCAGTGGAATCCGAGCAGGAGAAAGAGAAAGAAAACTTTGCTTCGGTTCATCATAGTCAGAGTGCTAAAAATCAACAGGAAGGAGAAAATCTTGAAAGCACCCGGAGGAAAGGAAGACATTTCACATCCCCAGTCACATGGAATGTCACAGCCTTCTCTGCAGAAACGGGAATGACAGCCTCAACATGGAGGGCAGTGCGGGAGGAGTTAACCCAGAATTCTTTATCCCGCAAAAATATCCTGTAGAATAGAAGTGAAAGAGATTTTAGGTAAAATACAAGAGCATTTATAACAGCAAATACATCAGCAGCTTGCTGTAAGAAATGCTGAGGAAACTAAAGACAGTCCTTCAGGCAGAAGGGATATGTTACCATGTGAACACTTGGTCTTCAGGAAGGAAGGAAGAAGTGGTGAAATGGGAGGTAAAAATAAAGAGTTTTCCTTTTAATTCCCTTAAATCTGACTGTTTACAGCACAGAACGGGGTTTACGCTGTCTGTAGATGGGATGCATGTACCACGTGTAGCATGAAGAGACTCGGGCGCAAAGACACAGACGATTGTGAGGTTCTTTCTTACGTGCTGAGCTTCTCATCCACTAGACTGAAAAGTTGGTGTGTAATGAAATCTCTAGAGCAACCACTTACAAAATGATGCTAAAAAGCCAATACATAAAATGGAATGCAAGGCAGTATTCCGTTAACTTGGCCCAAAGCAGGCAGGAACAAGAGGTGCAGAGACAGTGAGTAGTAACGTGGCACGTAAGGAATTCTCTCAGCCACGTGAGGAATTGCGCTACGCGGAAGTGGACAAAACAGGCCAGAGAGCAGGGGTGAAGAAGAGCCATTGATGTGCTGAGAGCGACACCCACTCTTAGAATCTGACACAGTGGCTTGAGAATGGATGGGTCAAGATCTGCCGGGCAGGTAGGAAGCCCGAGTTTGTGGGGACAAGCATACCCACCTCAGACAAAGTGAACGTCAAGTAGAGACGGGCATTGCCAGCGAGAGAGGGGGCAGCTCACGGGATGAAAACGTCAGTGATGAGGCACAACCGCTGGGAATGTGTGTGCTCCTGACAAACAGGGCTCGGGGGTACATAAGGCAAAGATGAGCAGAATTCCAGATTTCGCTGCCATGCCCCCAGGGCAGGCCCAGCGGGTCCCGGGCAGGTCGTGGGTGCTAATCCCCCGGCACCTGGACCAGCAATGTGTGCATTGCCTGAGCCAGGAGTCATGAAGACGTGATGCCAGGAGGGAGTGCTTGTGGCCAAGGAGGGTGCGGGGGGGGGGGGGGGGGCGGTGGTGCGCAGCAGTTGGATGAGACCGGCATCTCACTGGAGAGCGTGGGCTTGTCGGGAACCTGGCGTCTTGGGAGGGTTTGGTATCACCGGGGTAGGTGGATGCAGGCCTGGCAGGTGAGGGTGTTCCAGGGATGGAGGGGGCCAGCCACAGCCACGGGCTGGACCGGAGGGGGGTTCATGGGCTGGCCTCTGCAGCCCGAGGATGGGTTAACAGAGCGTCAGTGGTTGGGGTCTTCTCACTGGCCCATCAGTGTTTATGAGTAAAGTTGTGCCATATTAAAAACCGCAACAGAAGTAAGAGTCCATGTACCCAGGGGTAAGAGCGCTCCCTGTCGTACATGTGGAGTAGGTTCGCTCGCGGTCCTTCCTGGGGCAGCATGGGCCCGGCCTGGGCGGTTGCTGCTGCCCCCTCTGCCTGCCCTTGCCGAGGAGAGGCGAGGCCCCAGGCCTGCGGCAGAAGCCATGGCACGTCGCGGGACACGTCCCTCAGCAGGCGGCGCGGGGCTGGGACATCAGTAGGAGCACAGTTCTGCCTGGTGTAGAGGCCGAAGAGACACCTTGACCTATGGACGGCGTGCGTGGGTGTGTTAGTGGAGGGTGCGTCCCTCTGCTGACGAGTGCGGCTCCCAGTGGTGCACCCCAGCACACCCCGTTCCCCAGTGCCCGTGGCGGCGCGGCACGCTGACCGGGGGATCGCTGGCAGGCCGCAGCGCTGTCCTTGTCTGAGTAAACGTTTCATTGAGGTAGGACACAGGTGCACGGTGGCAGCCTGTGGCAGGGGGACGGGTCCCCAGTGACCCCTATCCAGGTCAAGAAGATGATTACACACCAGCCCCAAAGCCCCCACCCCTCCTAAGGGCCACCGCCGCCCTGGCATCTGCCAGTAGAGCCCCCGTTAGCCACTTGGACTTCATTCATGTAAACGGACCGCATGTTGTGAGCCGTTCCGTGCCCGGCACGTGTGGGGTCCGGCTTGGGCGTGGCTGCAGCCTGGTCCCCCCAGCTGAGTGTAGCGCTCTGGTGTGTGGAGTGTGCCGATCACCTGGCGACGGGCACGGGGTTTGTGCGATAGGGTGGCAGCAGGTAGCGCGAGGGGGTCCTACCTTCTCACTGTGTGACCCAGCGCAGGTTACCTAACCTCTCTGAGCTTCAGATTCCCCACCTGGACAATGGGCACAGTAATCCCTACCTCCCGGGGCAGTTAGGAGGGTCAGAGCAGAGTGGATATCTGGTGCCAGATAAAACACCTTGGCTCCAGCTGAACACCAACCCAGGCCTCCCCTCTCGTTGGCCCCTTAGCAGCCACTCAGAAGCCCACCGTGGGGGTCAGGGAGCATGTCAGTGTCTATGCGGCCCCTCAGCAGGACTCCTGTGATGGATTTTGGGCAGTGAGGCCCAGAATGGCCCAGAATAACAGCGGGGGGAGGGGGCGGTCCTCACTCCTACCCCAGTTCTGGGCTGATGCGGGTGCGATGCCTGGTGCCGGTGAGGCGGCATTGAGCAGCCGGAGACGTGGGGCCGTGGTCAGCATTAGCGGCACCGCGGGTGCCTGGTCTCTGTGTGTGCGTGGCCGGTCCAGGCTCTGCTGGGTCTAGCAAGTGCCGCTTGTCACACTTAGTGCCCGGCTGTCGGGGATGCCTGCTCCGAGGCCCAGGTGCTGGCCTCCAGCCACCTGATGCTTCTCGGTTGGGCTTTGGTGGGTTTCAAATCTCCCAGCTTCAAAGGTAGGCCTTGGACCCCACGGTGCCTCTCCTGGCCCCGGGTGTAGGTGTGCACGTGTGTCTGCACGTGCTCGCCCCCGTGACAGCTCGCCACGTGTCTGCCACAGGCCTTCCGGAGCAGTACTACAGCCTCACCTGGTTCCTGAGCCCCATCCTCGGCCTCATCTTCACGCCCATCATAGGCTCCGCCAGTGACCGCTGCACCCTGAGCTGGGGCCGCCGGCGGCCCTTCATCCTTGCCCTGTGCGTCGGCGTGCTCTTCGGTGTGGCACTCTTCCTTAACGGCTCTGCCATCGGTAAGTGTCCCTCCGCCACGGCCCGGCAGACGGGCTGTGCTCTCGGCGCCGTAGGTCAGCCTGGCCGGCCGCGGGCTGGCGCAGGGCTTCCGGGCTCTCCTGGCAGGGCTGGGGCCGGGCCCCACGTGGGAACGCCGTGGGGACCCGTTCACAGGGAAGCACTTCCTGTTGTGACCCGCTTGTGTCCCCTGCGTATCTGACAGCGCGTCCTGTTTCCAGAGTTTCAGAAATTCCCCCTTCTTTTTTCTCCTTTTCTCAGACTTGGTATTGAAAGTGGCCAGACCCAAGCCCACACTTGTTTTTTTGTCTCGTGTACTCATGGTTGGTTCTGCCTTTGTTGTTGTTTTGTTTTGTAATTAAAGCCAGTCTGTGTGGGAAAATAGTTTTTGCCCTGAGGGAGCCCATCAAAACTGTTCAAAACAAGACCTTGTTTTCTGGCAGTGACTTTTTAAGACCGAGGCTTCATCTGTGTTCTGACGTATACCAGTAGGCCCCAAGTCTGCGTCAAGTGAGGTGGAAGCGGTGACATTGGATCACTCACGGAGAGGCCCCAGAAACCCTCGGTTTCTCAGGGGCCTGTGTGGGGCCGGGCTGGGGCCCAGGAAGGCCACTGCAGCCGGCCGGCCAGAAGTCTGGAGGGGGCCGCTTTCCGGGAACTGTGGGCACGGGGCTGCTGGTGCTCTCAGCCTGTCCCCTTCAGCCTATGGAGCAGGTGTCCCTTGCCAGCACTTTGACCCAGAGAGAAAGCGTGGCGTTCTCCGAGGCTGTGTCTGTGGGACTGGCATGGCAGTGACGTGGGGGCTCTGGCCTCCGCCTGGCACCTTGCCTAGCTGTGTTCACGCTTCTCCTGGGCTTCTCCCCTGCACCTCCCATGCTGCAGCTAACCTGCCCCGGGGCCCAGGTTCTCTACCCACGGCCCCTCCACATCCATGGGTACAGGATGCCAGCCGGCCTCATGGACCCAGCTGTAGCTTGGCCATTGGGGTACCAGTTTGGTCTCTGGGTTCATGGCAGGTGAGGCGTGGCATGTGATTGCTGCTTCCTTTGGGTGCTTACAACCTGTTGAGGGAGGAGTTGTTCTGGAAGTGGGGCCATTCCCGTCACTCCTCAGAGCCGCACCTTTCTGGAACGTGGGCTGCTCCAAGAATGCACTTGACGACCCCGGGGCAGATCATGAGCACTTCCGTGGGCTGGGGTGGTCTGTCACCTGAGGTCTGAGTGTGGCCCTCCGCCCAGCTGGCCCGTGTTTCTGGCTTGGTGCCTTGGGTGCGGTCTGAGTACGACATGTCATCATTGTCGGCCTTGGAAGGTTTGTTCTTCTTGGAAAATAAACACACGCTCACCACGCAGCATCAGTGAGACAAACTCAAACAGTCTTCCGTTGGAAGGTGTGAAACTATAGTGGATGACCAGGGAGACCCATCACGTGTTCAGTAAGCGCCGAAGGAGCACCCCCCGCAGGCCCTGGCCCGGGAGCTGACCTCGAACCCCAGTGTGGTGCGTGTGACTGAGTGTGTCACCTATCACCTTTTCTCACTGATGCTCACTTAGTGCTCTGTACACGGTCCTCCTTCCCCAGTGAAGGTTGGGGAGGAAGGATTATTTTCCCTTTTTAGTTACAAAATGTGAAGGTAAGTAAGCTTTGAGGTTCATTGAACAGTTAATGTGACTGGGGAGCAGAAATAACCCTGCAAATAACAGAAATGGAAAAAACAAGGCCTGTCTTCTGTACTGAACGTCTGTGCCCAGGAACGTGCCCCTTTCGGGCGTTGGCAAGAGCGTCCCCATCTCCCCTTGTAGGTGGCTCTCTGGTCTTAGGAGCTGAGATCTGACTGCTCCTGTATGTTTGGTCAGGTCTGTCCCTTGGCGATGTCCCCAACCGGCAGCCCATTGGCATCGTCCTCACGGTGCTGGGGGTGGTCGTCCTGGATTTCAGTGCCGACGCGACTGAGGGCCCCATCCGGGCCTACCTGCTGGATGTGGTGGACAGCGAGGAGCAGGACATGGCCCTTAACATCCACGCCTTCTCTGCTGGTGAGAGCATGCCCCTCGCCCCCAGCCCTTACCCAGCTTGTCCCAGGTTGACCGGTGTAGGGGAGGCTGTTCCCAAGGCCCTCCTCCCCACATCGGGCGGCACTGGGTGGTGCTGGTCAGCAAGGCGGTGAGCAGGCTGCTGCTAAGCTCTCCCTGTACTCGGGCACTGCTCATATCCGTTGGGAACAGCAGCTTCCTGAGCTTAAGGGATGGCGGTCAGTGCTGCCCAGAGTCCCGGGCAACCATCTGTTTCCTATCCTGGCAGATAGCTGCTCCTGATTCCTTAGGCAGGAGTCTGTTAAGCCAGAACTCCAAACCTAGGGTCAGCTGTAGTTTCTCAGCTTGTTTTTCCTACCATTTACTCATTTTCCATCCCCAAAACTTGTCCTGACTCAGGACGTAGCTATGAATGTTGGCTCTGGTCACGATTAAGGGTAAGGGCCCTTCGAGATCTTTTCCTAGCTTCCTCCCTCCCCCCCCCCCCCACCTCCCGGGAGGGAGTGTCGAGCCGCCCGACATGGCTCACAGGCTCCGTCTGTCTCCACCACCCACTCAGGCCTCGGCGGGGCCGTCGGCTACGTGCTGGGGGGGCTGGACTGGACGCAGACCTTCCTGGGCGCCTGGCTCCGGACACAGAACCAGGTGCTCTTCTTCTTCGCGGCCATCATCTTCGTGGTGTCGGTGGCCCTGCACCTGCTCAGCATCGAGGAGGAGCAGTACAGCCCCCAGCAGGAGCGGGGTGGGGAGGGGGCCGACGCCCTGCCCTCCACCGCCCGTGTGAATGTTCTGGACGGTGGCGTGGCCCTGTTCCCCGAGGAGGTGCAGTCGGAGCACGAGCTCACGCTGGACTACCTGAGCGTGGACATGGTGCGCAGCAAGAGCGACTCGGTGCTGCACGTGCCGGACGCCGCCCTGGACCTGGAGCCCGAGCTGCCCTTCCTGCCCGACATCGAGCCCTCCATCTTCCACGACGGCTCTTACCCTGGCACCCCCCGCAGCACCAGCCAGGAGCTCGCCAGAGCCAGGCCACCGCCCCGCCTGGCCTCACTGCTCAGGGAAACGGCGAAAGAGGACGAGACGCTGCTCGATAATCACTTGAATGAAGCCAAAGTCCCCAACGGCAGCGGCTCCCCCCCAAAAGACGGCCCCGTGGGCTACACGAGGGTGGACGTGAAGCCCCCCGCCGCGTCCGGCTCCATGAGGCGGCGCAGGCACATGTTCCGGCGGCAGGCCTCCAGCACCTTCTCCTACTACGGCAAGATCGGCTCCCACCGCTACCGGTATCGGCGGGCCAACGCTGTGGTGCTCATCAAGCCCTCGCGCAGCATGAGCGACCTGTACGACCTGCAGAAGCGGCAGCGGCAGCGCTGCCGGCACCGGAACCAGAGCGGGGCCACCACCTCGAGCGGCGACACGGAGAGCGAGGAGGGCGAGGGCGAGACCACCGTGCGGCTGCTCTGGCTGTCCATGCTCAAGATGCCCAAGGAGCTGATGCGTCTCTGCCTCTGCCACCTGCTCACCTGGTTCTCCGTCATCGCCGAGGCTGTCTTCTACACCGACTTCATGGGCCAGGTCATCTTCGAAGGGGACCCCAAGGTGAGCGCCCAGGCGCGTGTGCCCGCGGCCGCAGCCTAGCGCGCTGCGTCCAAGAGGCTGCTCCCGGGGGGGTGCAGGGGGGGCAGGGGGCTAGCGTGCGCCCCTGTTGCTGTGCTCGGAGGTCCACAGAGAGTAGCTGGGGACGCCGGGGGCTCCACGAGGCAGGAGCAGCTGGGAGAGGCTTGAGGGGGGCACTGCCGCAGCGCCCCACTGCTGTGCACCAGCCTGCCCCAGAGCTCAGCGGCTCCACGGAGGGCCCCTCTGCCCCGCGGCCTGGCCCGGCCGGGGCCTGCTTCTGTTCCCCGTGCCATCAGCTGGCTCACGACCTGTGGCTGCGTTGCCCGACATTGGGCCAGATGGCCTCAGCCCAGGCTCTGGCCTCCCTCCCCTCCGGCTCCGGCACAGGGCAGGGGCGAGGCTGGGAGGGGTTAACACCACGTGCTCGGGTCCCAGCCGGGACTGTGGCTGAGTCTCCTGTCAGTCAGTGTAGCATTCATCACTGTTTGTAAAATGAAGAGCTTACTTGCAGTTGAGATGTAAAGTCACTTTCTTTGCCCAAAGGGTGTGGCACGTGATCCCTGCCCCCCCTGAACCCCAGTCTCATTTCTGGAACAGGCCCCCTCTAACTCGACCGCCTGGCAGGCCTACAATGCTGGCGTGAAGATGGGCTGCTGGGGCCTGGTGATTTACGCGGCCACCGGTGCAATTTGCTCAGGTAAGCGATCCTCAAGGTGGAGAAGTATTGCTCCCCGGGAGATGCTCAGTGATGGGAAATAGGGCCAAGGTCATCCTGCTCGGAAGGCAGGCCTGACTTTGAGCAGGACTGTTGTTCAGGGGCAGACGCATGGAAACTTGTGTGTCCAGAATTGGGCATCCTGAGACCCCATGCAGGCTGTCCTCTGTGGTTCCTGCCCGGGGGCTCCTCAGGGAGGGCCTCTGCTGGAGATGGGGTCAGGGGAATGGGGGACTCCAGGAACCATGCCCACAATCCCGGGAGAGGGGTCTTTTGCATCTTAGCCAGGAGGACAGGGAGAGTTGGTGCCGGCACCCCAAGGCCTGCATGAGGGCATGAGGTGTGTTTGCAGCCGTCAGGGTGGCTATGGGAGCAGTTTGCCGTGGGGGAGAGAGGCCTTTCCCTGGAGGTGCAGGTTATCCTTGAGGATGGGGGTCAGGGTGGCATGCTTACGGACACCTTCCGGAAATGGGGCACAGTCAGGGTCCGGGATCTCCTAAACAAGTCTGGCCTAGGTCCTGCCCATTCTCTACATGAACCGTGGAGGGGGAGGTCAGCTTTGTCTCAGCCTGGCCTGGACCTGAGGATGGCCAAGGTGAAGGCCATGAAGCAGTGGGAAGCCCGCCTGACCATCACCACAGCATTGTCTGTGTTTGACAGAGAAGTTCTCAGGAAAGCCGTAGAGATGCTTCCTGGGGGAGGTAACATCAAGCCGCTGGGTCAGAAAGGGTCAGCAGGAGTCTGTCCCTCTAGACCCAGGGGTTTACCCATGAGGAAACCAGCCACAACTCGAGATCCCAAGTCAAGACTGGTGTGGGGCTGGACTGGTGGGAAGGGTCCCGGCCAGGCTGGCCTACGGGGCGGGGAAGCCCCAGGGAGCTGCAGGATGGGACCAGGCTCTGGGCTCTGGGACCCAGGAGGGCTCATGTCTGAGGCGCTGGAGCTCCAGGGAGTTGAGCGAGGCACGGTTTGCTGCAAGCTGTTGGGGGCGAGTGGGCCGCGATGTGGGGCAGGTGGGCATCGAAGGAGCCTCCTTGGAGTGGAGGCAGCAGGGGGCTGTGGGGGGCGCCCGATGGGAGCGAGGTGGGCACGCAGCTCAGGGCCTTGTGGCCACACTCTCTCTACAGCCCTGTTACAGAAGTACTTGGACAACTACGATCTGAGCATCAGGGTCATCTACGTGCTGGGGACTCTGGGCTTCTCCATCGGCACAGCCGTGATGGCCATGTTCGCCAACGTCTATGTTGCCATGATCATGATCAGCACCATGGGCATAGTCTCCATGAGCATCTCCTACTGCCCCTACGCCCTGCTTGGGCAGTACCATGACATCAAGGAGGTGCGTCCGTGGCTGGGGGGCGGGGAACAGTGGATGAAGTGCTGGGGCACGAGGTCACCAGCCCAAAATGTACATCAGGTCAGATCATCAGACCCATCTGGCTCTAAAGCCCGTGTTCTTCTCCACTCATCTTGAGGCAGAGCTCTGTACCTTCCACTTGGGGGACATTTGGGGTGATCCCCCTAGATCTTTGGTTCTGAAGGGACCAACAGAGCTGCCACTTGCCTGGGTCAGTCTGAGGCCCAGGCTTCCTGGCTGCAAGGCTCTGTACTTTCAGTGGCCTGGGCCACTGGTACCTGCCTGGAGGCTTCAGTTGCATCTTGAGGGATTTTGGTTGGGCACCTGGGAGGCTCCCTGCCCCCTATTGTCCCCTCGTAGACCTCTGAGGACTCGCAGCGCTGTCCTGTCCAGTTGAGCGTGAGGCACCTGGGTCAGTCTATGCTTTGAGTACCTACATTTAAAGAGAGAGTAGACAGGTGAAATCACTTTAATGGTGTATTTTGTTTATTGCAGTACATCCAAAACACCATTATTTCAACACATTCAGTAGAAAATATTGATTATTCTCCCCAAGCCTTGAAATGTGTATCTTATACCTACAGTTCCTCTCGACTCAGACCAGCCATCTTTCAAAGTGCTTAGTAGCCACAGTGCGGGTGTAGACCGTGGTTCTCAAACTTCAAACACAGACCCTAAAAGGAAAGGAAGAAACACAAAAAAGCTCGGATTTCTTTCTTCCTAAACCTAAACTATGTTTAATCTTTCCTTGCACAATTATAGAAGCAGAGTAAATCCACTGTGATTAGGTTCCTACCAAATACCAAACTAACGAAAATCCAAAGAACAGCATTATTTTTTTTAATAAGCTTTTTAGCTGGAGCATAATATGACTACAAGAAAAGTACACAAACTTTAAGTGAAGAGCTTAGTGGATTTTTGGAAAACAAACTGGAAAAGCTAATGCAGACCCAGAAACAACAGAAAGCTGGGCCTCCTCCTAACCTCTGACCCTGTGTAGTCATCCTGCCAGTGTTTGAACCTCATGCGACTGGAATATCTGCTTTGACTTCACGCCTGTGCTTACAGAGGGCGGTTCTTCCTTGCCTTTCGTCTCTCACCATCTGGCCACAGTCTGTGCTCCGTGCTGCTGGCGCTGGCATTGGGTGGCGCCCTTGTTTCTGGTCCCCCTGTCCTCTCTTCCACTGGCTGGTCTGTCCTCAGACAAGTGTTCTACTCTTCTGAGTAGCTTCGTAGTAAGACCCGAAACCTGGTGCTGTGTGTCCTTCAACTGTGTTGTTCTTTACGATTGTCTTGGGTATTCTTGACGGTTTACTTTTCATCTAAATGTTAGATCAGTTTCTAGGCTTTTGCATTGGAAACACATTGATTAAATAGATCAATTTGGGGAGAGTTACAAACTTTATAGTACTGAGCCTTTCAACCCATAAATGTGGTGTATTCTTCTGTTAATTCTTACAGCATATCTGTGCATTCTTTTGGACATCCACAATCATACCATCCGTGTATAATGAGATTTATTTTTTCTTTTCCAATCCTTAATACATCTTACTTATTTTCCTCGCCTTATTGCAATGGCCAGAATCTCCAATACGATGTTGAATAGAAGTGGGACGGGGTCAGGGGACAGGCTGAGTGGTCGCCAAGCAGCTGAGTGGAAGGCAAGTTTTGTGTCCAGACTTCTGAGCTACTATTTGAACCACGGGGACGTTGACTGACGGCTCAGCCCCCCCCCCCGCCCCGGCCCCTCACTCTTGTGCTCTCTTCTCTTGCAGTATGTGCACCACAGCCCCGGGAACTCCAAGCGCGGCTTTGGCATAGACTGCGCAATCCTCTCCTGCCAAGTGTACATCTCCCAGATCCTGGTGGCGTCCGCCCTCGGGGGCGTGGTGGACGCCGTTGGGAGCGTGCGTGTCATTCCCGTGGTGGCCTCCGTGGGCTCTTTCTTGGGCTTCCTGACAGCCACGTTCCTGGTGATCTACCCGGAGGTGTCTGAGGAGGCCAAGGAGGAGCAGAAAGGCCTGTCGCGCCAGCCGTCAGGTGACGGCGGGGACGGCAGCCAGAAGCCCACCGTGCTGGCGCTGTCCCGGAAGCAGGGCCTGCAGGGGCTGGTGGAGACAGAGTCCATGGTCTGAGCCTCGCCCCTGTGCACACACATTCCGCGGGAGGGGGGGGCGGCGGGGTGGGCACGGGTGGTCACTGTTGCTTTGGTGGCAGCACAAAGCAGAGTTCCTTCACGACACGGGTGGGGGTGCGGTGGTTGTAGGGTAGGCCTGAGCCCCTAGGCAAAAGCACCACACTAACTACTTTTTCCACAATTAAATCATTTGAAATATTTTTTTTTTAATTGAAAAAGATCTTCTAATTTCAACTCTTTTATTCCGCAGGTATATTACTCTGCATGTTTTTAAAATTATAAGTCAGATTTACAATAGACACAGGCAATTTAGAGAAAAGTAAGATTTTCATTTCCAAGGTTATAATTGGAAACAGAAGTATGTGCTGTCCTTCGTGTAGCCGGTGACTGAACCTTTCCACACCTCTCTGGACGCCCGCAGGCGTTGGGAATTCCTGTCAGATCTCACGTTTTGTTGGTGCTGCAGTTACTGGAGAGTATTTTTCTTTATCATTATTTTAGAAAACAATTTTTTTTCTTTCAAAACTGGTTTCCTTAGAAGAAACAGCGTTTCTTCTTTTCCTCAGAGATTCTGACAGATGGCGTGAGCGGCAGGCCTGCCTCTGGGCAGCAGGAGGCGGCAGCCGCCCCCCACCCCCACCCCCACCCACGGGGAGGCAGGGCCCCAGGGACCCCGTGGGCGGGAGAGGATGATCGGAGGGTGACCTGCAGGGACGGCGGGCTGGGACGGGCACCCGCGGCGGGCAGCGTCCCAACTAGCAGATGGCCCCCCCGGTAGGCGGGCGCGCGTGTCCATGCCCAGACCCCTGACCCCGTCATCTTTGTCCGAAGCTCCCCAGAGAGGTGGTGGACTCTCTCATTGCACTTTGACTCGTGTTTAAACCATTTGTTGGGGAAATCATGAGGGCAGAGCTCCAGGCGTGGCCTTGCCCCCTGGGTCCTGCCACCAGGCCTACCTCGGGTGTGTGGGGCGCGGCCCCGGCGCGTGTGAACTCCTCATGCTGGGACTCTACTGACCTCTTCTGACCTCTTCGCCTGCTCCTCGCGCGACGCCGGAACCGGAGCAGTGGCAAAGTGAAGCAAGTGTCTGGGCCCGAAGGAAGGTCCACTCCCCCAGAGGACTCTGGCGGTGTTTTCTGCTTTCAGCGTCTAAGCCAAACCCGGACTTTGGGGAAAGTAACAGTCACGAAATGCTGCAGCTACTTGGGAATGCTTTCCAAACCACAGTCTCTTTATAACTGAGCAGTTTCTGCTTTTCTTACTTGGAATGGTCAGTCTAAGCTTCCTGGTGTCACCTGGACACAGACAGTGGTAATACTTCGCTGCCTCAAGTTGTTTTTTAAATAAAGAACTTTAGGATGCATGAACAATCATGCTGCAATATGATCATTCTAAAGCAAATATATATGCATACATATATATATATATATTTCAAGATGAGACTAAGCAGTTTTTAAATAAATTACTTGAATTTTCTGTGTATCCCGAGGACTGGCTGTCTAGTGTACTTGGCCAGCCTCTGGCCGCGCCGTGTCTCCCGGCCGCCGGTGGCGTGCTGTGCAGGCCATGTTTGTGTCTAAGGACCAGCGGGGCCCGTCCACTCAGGAGCCCAGGACCTCGGAGGGCCGGCACCAGGACGCTAGCGTTTTCCACATGTTCACGCGTGAGGCTGGCCTCGTGAATGTGGAGCTTGGACAGGGGGAGAGTCTGTCCTGCTCCTGGAAGCGCTGCTGGCCTGGGCACGAAGCCCCAGCCTCCTGCGCCAGCCAGGCTGGGCACCCTGGGCAGGTCCCTGTATCCAGTTCACTCCAGCCACCTGACAGCTTTGCGGCCCTGGGTCCCCCTGCTTTGGTTCTCAGGGCCCCAGGAGGGTCCTCCAGGGCAAGGCTCCATCTGGCCAGCCTGCTCCGTAGGGGTCTCCCTGCGGCCAGAAAAGTGGGAAAAGTGGGCGGCAGGAGAGCGGACTATGCGGGTGGTGGTGGAACAGTCCCGAATCCAGACGTGAAGTGAACGAGCATTTGCCTCTGGGCCACCCACCTCCCTCCAGGGCCGGACGCACGAGGCCTGGCTGGGATTCGGCGTTTAGGCACGAGGAGCTTACGGTGGGACCACTGTCATCAAAGCGTGTTAGCCCTTGACGTCCCAGCCTTCCACTTCACCCTGCTCTGAAATACCAAGGAGCCCAGAAGACACATGGCTGAGGCTCCCTGTTAGAAGAGGAACAGTGCACCCCTCCCAGGACCAGCCGGCCCGGGCTGGGGTGCTCCAGTAGCTGTCTAACGTGGATGTTTATGACCAGTCTTCCTCGCTCTGTAGGTCTGGTCTCGCGAGAGCAGACCTACGAGGAGAGGGAGGAGGTGCCTTGTGGTTTGGATCAGAGTCGGTCTCCGGAGCTGCCTTTCTGGGCCCTCGTCCCGGGTGTGAGCACAGAGGGGCGCCTCTGCCCACCCTCGAAGTGACATGTCAGGATCGCACTGAGTTTGTTCACAAGTGTCTTAAGAGCCGCGAGGAGGAGCCGGCCGTGGGCACAGCGTGGTTGCGCTCTGTGGCTCAGCGGGGGTGGGAGGCGGTGTTTTCTAATGCGGTAGCTCAGGTGGGCCCCAGGGGGACGCAGGAGAATGTCCCCGAGCAGGCCATCTTTGGCCTGGTGATGGAGGGTTCTGTGACAGGCCCACGCGTGCCCGCTGAGTGGGCTGGCAGGTGTCGATGCCTGGGACAGGGGTCCTGGGGTTTGTGAGCACAGGTCCGTGGGCTGGGAGTGTGGCCAGCAGTTGGTTACTGTGCAGTGTAAATGGGCTGCTTACCAAAACAGGGTAATGTGGGTCTGATTTGCACTTTTGTTTCCTATAAAAGTCAACGAAGTAAAAAATCAAGGAGATGACTCAAACCCGTGCAGCCGAAGTCTGGACTGTGCTGGAGCCGGGGGGGCGGGGGGGGCGGGCGTCTCAGCTGGCAGCGTCTGTGGCCCCTGCCCAGAGGTGCTCAGGTGTGTTCCTTAAAGGTACCAGTGTGTGGGGAAGTGGGTCTCTGACCCCCAAATCCCCAAAGGGCGACCGGTGTGTGGGGCTGCAGGAAGCAGGAGGCGGAGGGGAGCTGAGCTCAGGCTGAGGGGCGGGGCTTCCTGTCCAGCCCCCCCCCCCCCGGGGGTGGCACAGCCTGGCAGCCTGTGACGGCTTCCGTGTGTGTCTGACGACTCGAGGAGGTGCTGACTGTTCCGTTCGGGGTCTGATGGCGCCTGTGGCAGCTGGAGATGGCGGCACCTTGTCACTGACCAAGTTTGTAAAACACCTGCAATTCACACCTGACCCGCACCCGCTTCGCCAGAGACACTGACCAGCTAACCGTCAGTGAGGGCGCTGGCAGCCAGTCCTCTTGGGAAGGCGCTGCTGGGGACAGACCCGTCTCCTTCGTGCTGTATCTGCGGGCATCCATCTTCCTGCCCGCCTCCGGGCCACTTCCCGAGCACTCTTGGAGCAGCTGGAGGGCCCTCAGCCCAGCGCTCGCCGGGAGTGGGGTCGATGCGGCCCATCTGGGGGGCCCAGCTTCAGAGCTGCGCGTTACCTCCTCACGGGAAGCCAGCTGCCACCGTCCCGGCCCGAACCCCGAGTCTTGAGATGGCCCTTGGGCCAGCCCATCCTCAGGAGCCGGCTCTTTCCACCGGGACCTCCGGCAGAGCTCAGTGCCCACCCCCCACCTGCTGAGTCCGCTGGCGGTCCCCTGGGCTGCCGGGGGCACGTCTCCTTGTGCCATGGCCTGAGACGGTCTCTTGGTGGTGGAAGGACCCGTTTGTTGGAAATGCCTCTTGTTACGAGAGAAACTCCCCAGGCATCTCGGAGCAACACTATTTAGTTCCATTGTGAACTGGCCACAGGACTTTTTATCAACTTATTAAGTTGGGGCAGTATACTAGCTCTTGCTGATTTTAGCAACAATATAAGTGTGTGTTAAACACAATGTTTTATGAGGAAAGGGGATTATAAAGAAGAGTAATATCGCATATTAACTTTTTTTATTAGGTGGTGCAAAGTGGCCTGATGTCTGTGTGTCTGTACGCAAGCCCTCGGTTGTGTTGTTTCTTTCCAGGTACACTGAGCTTGCGTGTCGGCCTCATTGTTGTGCACAACGGTTGTTTGTGGAGCACTCCCATCTCCACACCCGAGGCCGGCCTGGCCTCCCCCCAGGGCCTCCCGGGGTCTGTTTTGCTGTAACTCTGTGGTTAAATCTTAATAAACCTTCCCTACCAGGTGACCACGTGGGTGTGTCTGAGTCACTTCCCCTCAGCCCCTCCCTGTGCCTTCCTGTGGCTGGGCTGGGGACCTAGGCCTGCCCTGCCCCCGCTCGGGCCAGGGTGGGTCTCATGGGGGGAGGGCAGAGAGCCCCCAGGCCTGCCGCCGAGTGTGGACAAAGTATGGGCTCACGGAGTCTTCCGAGAACCTCCCCCCACCCCCAGTTCCCAAGCCTGGGCGCCCGTGTCGGAACCCCCAGCACAGGCCACCTTCAGCCCCGGCCCCTCCAGGACACCTCCCTCGGCCAGAGGCTCTGCCTGCCTCCCGGGGCCCAGGGGCATCCAGGTAGGAGCCATGCTGGCTATGCCCAGAGGGCCGGCCCGGGGCTGAGGCCCCAGGACAGGTGTGGCCACAGGTCTGGCCTCCCCTCCTGTGAAGAGGGGGAGCTGCTCAGAAGCTGGGCCTGCACCTCTGGCCACACAGGTAAGCAGCTGAAGCCTGAGGTTTGGGGTGCCTGCGCCTCAGGCTGGGTGGGGCAGAAGCTGCTGCCACCCCCCGGGGTGGCCCCGGAGGAAGCGGGGGGGTGGGGGTGGGGGGGAGGGGAGGGAGGGAAAGGTGGCCTTACTCAAGGCCACACGGCCAGGGATATCTGAACCCGGGGCGGGGTGCCGGGAGGGAGGGGGGGAAGGACCGTGTGGTCCCGGTGGGGTCCCGGTGGGGTCCCTGGGGAGGGGGTGGTGGCTGAGGCTGGAGGCCCCTGGAGCTCTGTGCAGCCTTTCTGCTGCCCCCAC